CAACAACACTTTCACCAATATGTCCCCTAAAGCAAGGGACATAAAGGAAAGAATAAACAAATTGGGACCTCATCACAATAAGAGGCTTCTGCACGGCTAAAGAAAACATCAGCAAAATGAAAAGGGATCCAACCGTATTGGAAAATATGTTTGTCAGTGATACATCAGATAGAGGTTTGATCTCCAAAATGTATAATGAACTCACACGACTCCACTCCAAGAAGACAAACAATCCAATTAAAAAATGGGCAAAGGACCTGAACTTCTCCAAGGAAGAGATACAGAGGACCCAGAGACATGTGAAAGGATGCTCAGCATCGCTAGCCATCAGAGAAATGCACATTAAAACCACAATGAGATACCACTTCACACCAGTCAGAATGGCCAGCATAAACAGATCAACAAACAACGGGTGCTGGCGAGGCTGTGGAGAAAAGGGAATCCTAGGACACTGTTGGTGGGAATGCAGACTGGTGCAGCCACTGTGGAAAACAGTTTGGAATTTCCTCAAAAAGCCAAAAATGGAACTGCCTTTTGACCCAGTGATCCCACTGCTGGGATTATACCCTAAGAATCCCAAAACACCAATTCAAAAGAACCTATGCACCCCAATGTTCATAGCAGCACAATTGACAATAGCCAAGTGCTGGAAGCAACCTAAGTGTCCATCCGTAAATGAGTGGATCCAAAAACTATGGTACGTTTACACAATAGAATACCAGGCAGCAGAAAGAAAGAAAGAGCTACTACCCTTCACGACAGCATGGATGGAACTGGAGACATTATGCTAAGTGAAATAGACCAGGTGATGAAAGACAAATACCATATGATCTCACCTGTAAGTGGAACCTAATCAACAAAACAGACAAGCAAGGAAAATATAACCAGCAACACTGATAGAAAAAAGAAACCAACAGAATCAAGAGGGAAGGGTGGGGCAGGGAAAGGGAAGGGAAGGGTCAAGTCAAGGAACATGTATAAAGGACCCATGGACAAAGCCAAAGTGGGAAAGGATTGAGGGAGGGCAGTGGGGGAGGGGGCAGGGGAAAGTGGTGGCAGGAAGATGGAGACAAATGTATTTAAATAATAATAAAAAACAAACCAGCCAAAAGGCAAGAACCTATCCAAATGTCCATCAGCTGAGGAATGGAGAAACAAAATGTGTTATATGCATACAATGGACTATTATTTGGCCATAAAAATAAATGAAATTCTTATACATACTACAGCATGGATGATCCTGAAAAACATCATGCTATATTAAGCCAGACACAAAATAATAAACCAGGTATGATTCCACTTTTAGTTAGTATCTCCAGCTGGCAAATTCAGAGAAATTAGAATGGTGATTGCCAGCGACTAGAGAGAAGATGAAGGGAATGAGGTATTTTTTGATGGGTACAGAGTTTCAGTTTTAAAAGATAAAAGTAGTTCTGATGATGGAGGTGGTGATGACTATGACGATACAAATGTATTAAATACCACTGAACTGAACACTTAAAATGGATAGGATGATAAGTTTTATTTTATGTATATTTTACCACAATAAAAAAAACTAACTGGTTTTGGTCAAAAAACTGGTCAGAAAAAGGATGCTAGTAAATCAGCTGCATTTTTATACAATTAATGAACTATTAGAAAGAGAAACTTAAAAAATAATCCTATTTACAATTGCATCAAAAAACATGAAATACTAAGTAATAAATTTTACCAAGACACTGTAATCAGAAAATTACAAGACACTGAAAAGAATAATTAAAGAATATACAAATACATGGAAACACATACTGTGTTAACATTGTTAAAATGACCATGCTACCAAAAGCAATCTACTGAGTCAATGCAATTCTTATCAAAATAACAATGATGTATTTCACAGAACCAGAATAATCCAAAAATTTATATGGAATTACAAAAGACCTCAAATAACCGCAGTAATCTTGAGAAAGAAGGACAAAGTTGGAGGAATCATGCTACTTGATATCAAACTACACTACAAGACCACAGTAATCAAAACACCATGGTACTGGCATAAAAACAGATATATAGATCAATAGAACATAATGGAGAGTCCAGGAATAAACCCATGCCTAAAGAGTTGATTAATATTGGACAAAGGAGGAAAGAACAAACAATAGCATAAAGACAGCCTATTTAATAAATGGCTGTTGGGAAAACTGGACAGATAATGGGCAAAAATAATGAAACTAGACCACCTTGTTATGCCATATACAAGAATAAACTCAAAATGGATGAAAGATTTAAATATAAGACTCAATATCATAATTATATAAGAAAACATAGGCAGTAAAATACTGCATGTTTCTATGAGTAATATTTTTTCTGATTTATCTCCTCAGACAAGGGAAAAAAATAAAAAATAAAAATGTGACTATATCAAACTAAAATGCTTTTGCACAGCAAAGGAAACCATCAATAAAATGAAAAGACAACCCACTGAATAGAAGAACACATTCACCAATAATATATCTGATAAGGGGTTAATATCCAGAATTTATAAAGAACTCATACAACTCAACACGAAAAAAACCAAACAATCTTACTAAAAAATGGGAAAAGGCCCTGTATAGATAGATACTTCTCCAAAGAGGACACATTGATGGCCAATAAACATATGAAAGGATGCTCAATATTATTAATCATCAGAAAAATTCATATTAAAATCACAATGCACTATTACCTCACACCTGTCAGAATGGCTATCATCAGTAAATCAACAAACAATAAGTGTTACTGAGGATGTGGAGAAAAAGGAAACCTTATTCACTGTTGGTGGGAATGAAGATTGGTGCAGCCACTGTGGAAACCAATATGGAGGTTCCTCAAAAAATTGAAAATGGAACTGTCTTATGACCCAGTGATCCCACTTCTGGGAATATATCCTAAGAATTCAGAAACACCAATTCAAAAGAATGTATGCACCCCCATGTTCATAGCAGCATTGTTTACAACAGTCAAGATATGGAAGCAACCCAAATGCCTATCAATAAACAAGTCGATAAAAAAGCTGTGGTATATATATAATGGAGTATTACTTAGGCATTAAAAAGAGCAAAATCGTACCATTTGCAACAGCATGGAGGGACCTACAGGGTATTCGGCTAAGTAAAATAAAGTCAATCAGAGGAAGACAAATGCCACATTATTTTACTTACGTGTGCAGTCTAAAGAAAAATATAAACAAATAAACAAAAACAGAGATAAGAAGAAGAGACTGATCGTTACCTGAAGGGTTATGTGAAAGACTGGGTGAAAAAGGTCAATGGATTAAGAACAAATTGGTAGTTATAAAATAGTCATAGGGACGTAAAGTACAACATAGGAAACATAGTCAATAATATTGTCATAACTATGTATGTCAGGTGGGTACTGCAAACATCACGGGGAACACCTTGTAAAGCATGTGATTAGCTAACCACTATGCTATATACACTTGAAACTAATACAAAATAATAGTAAATGTAAACTGTAATTGAAAAAAAATTTTAAATAAAAAAATAAAAAGAATTCAAAATAAAATACATGTTCTATTCAACGAAGTCACCCAAATTGGAAAAGAAAAAAAAAATGCTAGTGGATCAAACTCACTTAGAAGCCTGGTAAATAAAAGGAAAGAACCAAACATGTATTCTGTGTACTCTATGTGAACAGTACCACGACATAGTACTAGCTAAGGAGGATGTGTGCCTTTTTACATCCATGTTTCAAGAACAAATGAAAAAGAGACAATACAATCAGAGATTCCCCACTTTATAATCCCCAAGAATTAATGGATTAAGCATAGAGCAACAATGGCTGCTAAATCAAAGCAAAGAGACCAGATATTAGGTGTCTCCTCATAGAATAACAGAACACTACCTACAGAATTGCCAAACGAATGAATCACAGTCTGATCAAGCCTCTGGATCCAGCTATCAATTTGCAGGGAAGAGAGGACAAAGGAATAAATTGAACCACATCACAAGCATGTGATCTACAAAATGTAGGTTGTGCAAAAATTTATAGGGCAAAATGTCCAAGTTACTCAACAAAAAAAGAAATGGATGGAGAGAGAAACTGCAAATTATCAAAATTTTTTTTAAATGGGCAAGACTAAACTCTATTTTGTGAGGATGCACGCTTGGGCAGTAAAATGATAAACACAGCAAATGATACCAACCAAAATCAAAACAGTGGTTCTTTTTGGAGGGCTTGCAGGATGCCTAGCTAAGTTCTAGGTATTTACCTGGGTGAAAATTACAAGAAGAATTTTGCAACTTTGTCATAAATCATTATTATAATTTCTTGCAAGTGATTTTCTACACCAGTATTACTTTAAAATAAAAAATGGTTTTAAAATTAACATTTATATCAAATATATAATTGGTGTACACACCTTTGATTCTCTTGCTCTTTTTCAGGAGAAAAACAGGAGTCTGTTCAACTCAAAATCGAACAAGAGCCACAAACTGCATTAAGCTGACACATTTTTAAAGTCTCTTTTGAAGTTCCTTCTTCCCTCTTTCATTTCCCTTTTAACTTATTTGTTGAAGAGGTAAAATCATTTCACTACAAAGTCTCTTCCATGCTGGATTTTTCTAACTGTACCCCTGCTATACTGCCTCCCATGCCCCACTCTACCCTCATCTCCTGTTTCTTGTGTACTGCTCTGAAATCCACAGGCTGTGATCAGAGTCAGGGTCAATTGGTTTAGCAAGACTATACTTCCTAGGCTGTGTTGTATAAATGAAGTCTGGTGTATCTTTTTTGTGTGCATATTCTTTTTTTACTTCTTAAGTGAAAATTATATTTTTTATAATCTGTAGTTTGAAGACTGAACATCAACTTTGCTTGCTCTTTAAAACAAATCATAAATCCTAGAAAATTTCAGGCAGAAAAGTTACTGTTCTGTAATACAATGCCAGGACAACTGCAATATATCCAATTATCACATTACCCACCCCTTAAAAAATACTGATATGTGTAAGCACTGAACTCACCTGCTGGAAGGCCTGAATTGTAGCAGAATAGGAATGGAGAGACAGACTAAATTTCAACAAATTCTGCTGTAGAGGTGACAGAAACTGAAATGCAGCTTCCAATATTGCATGATAATAGGAATAATCAGTACCTGTCAAGGAAGAACATTAACCAAAATAATCAATCATGACCAGAGATATCCAAATAGGAATTTATAAAGTATAAAGCTATGGGTTACATGGGCACACGATAGCAAAGTATTACTACCATACTGTCTTGAACTGTTGTCAAATGCTTAGAACTCCCTAGAGTGCACAACGCAATCAGACTTTTCCTCCCTTCTTTCCTTTGTTCACTCTCCCCTCCCTATGGACTGCTAGTCACCTACTCCAGGGAGGTACCCCTAATCCGCACCCCATGCCTCAGTGAAACATGTACATCTCTTCTTTCCTCCTCATAATACTTCTTTGCTTACCTCTTTCATCCACCACATCATTTACTAAATTATTTCTTCCCTATCTACCTCTCCCCAAATAGGCTTTGAGCCCCAACAAGCAGAAACTATGACTTATTTATCCTTGTATCCCCAGTGTCTGACACTGATATCTACTGAAATAACCCAACACAACTGAGTAATGTGATAAAGAAGTACAAGGTATTAAAGGATAATGAGGAAATTGTAGTTTGAGGTAAAGCATTTAAAAAATTGCAACAAATTATCAGGGGGCAGGGGGAGAACACATGTACCACTATGAAAAATTCCAAGTATATATTGTTAAATGAAAAGCACAAGGTATAAAACAATGTATATTCTAAGCCACCTTTTTTTCTATGAGAAAAAAGAATATATATGTATGTATCTGTTGTAAAAAAAAACAAACTGAAGGCTAAACAAATTAAATGGTTATAAAAACAGAAGAAACAGAAGGGAGGCAAGAAGATTTTTCTACGTTAAGTATAGACTTATATATAACTTTCTAAAAGAAAACATTAACATTTTAAAAAGCAAAACATAAAAGGTTCTATACTATCTTCCTTTTTTTAAAAGATTTTATTTATTTATTTTCAGAGAAGTGAAGGGATGGAGAAGAGAGGGAGAGAAACATCAATGTGTGGTTGCCTCTTGCGTGCCCCTTACTGGGGATCTGGCCAGCAATCCAGGCATGTGCCCTAGACTGGGAAACGAACTGGCAACCCTTTGGTTCACAGGCCGGCACTCAATCCACTGAGCCACACCAGCCAGGGATACATTAGCATCTCTAAGTTAAAAAAAAAAAAAAAAAAAAAATCAGAAAAAAAATACTGCAAAATATTGCCAGAATGTTAATAGTAAATATCTTTGGATAGTGGGGCTACAGATTATATTATAGTTCAAATAAAATGGTTAACATACTTTTATGATCACTTCCAAAAATTCATACTCACATAATTCTAACAAAGAATACATTATCATTCATATTAAAGACATCTCATTTATATGTCAGAGTTCAAATTCATTAAAAAGCCTACTTTAATAAATGTTTCATGAAATCATAAACTAAAAGGATTTTTTTGATAATTCTAGTTGACTCTAAATTACATAACTAAACTTACAGGTGCTTGTTCAAAACCTTAATGTACTTATATCACAAAAAAAATCACACATAACTTTTTTAATATAGTATTTTAATAAAAATCAAAGTTAAAAATCAATTCAGTTCAATATTAACATCAGTCACAAAATTTTCACGAATTTTCTCCTTAATAAGGACTTATGCCTGTCAATGTATATCAAGGTTTTAGCTGCTCATGTATCATTATCTTTCACTATTAATGTTTATACTCTACATAGCTTACATTGAATTAGAAAATGTTTATGAAAGTACTTCATAACCTGTAAACACATGAGAAACTACACTGTAATTAATTTGTTATCTTGACGCTTAAGCTGTGGGTGGCTGGTGGGCATAACAGAAAATACTTGGGATGACACTAACTTAATAATAAAAAATTTAACCGATAATAGATCAGTTATATAATTGATTCATAACAAAAATAGTGAATCAAATCTGATAGTTATTAATACTAAATGATTTTAAATGAATCTGACTTCCACAAAATATTCACACTTTTTTTTTTAAAGATTTTATTTATTTATATTTTTAGAAAGAGTGGAAGAGAAGAGGGAAACATCAGCTGGTTGCCTCTTGAATGCCCCCAAAAGGGCACCTGGCCCACAGCTCAGGCATGTGCTCTGACTGGAATCAAGCGAACAGCGTTTCAGTTTGGCGGGACAATGCCCCACCCACTGAGCCACACCACTTAGGGCTATTTATAAATTTTTAATAAAAGAACTCAAAAACACACAAACAATAAAAACAAACAAACAAAAAACCAAGGTCAAAGTCAAGGAGAGTGCTTGTAGACAAAGTTATAAACTGCTTCAAAAATAATGATTAGCCTGTGTTGGCTCTGCTGGCTGCCATCATAACTCTAGTCATTCAGTTAAAAGTGTATCCCATTAACTGTCATGCCACACATGCTCTGAAAGACAGCATTTTTTCCAATATTTTCCCAGACAAAGCAGCACTGGCTTCAATTTACCATGGTGATCTGATGATCCAATATTTTGACTGGCTTCTACAAAATTCCAAAACTTCTCTTGACTGTCTTCTGCTAAAAACTCACTAGGAGAAAAGGGAGAAATATCAGAAATAAAACAACTTAATAAAAATCTTCTAATATAAGCTGTATTTGTAGGTTTTTAAGTCTCCAAATGTCCATAGTTTGACCTTCAATATATAATCTACATTATACAAACATGTATAGTGTGTGTGTGTGTGTGTGTGTGTGTATGTATTTTAAATCCTCATCTGAGGACATGTTTATTGGTTTTAGAAAGAGAGGAAGGGAGAGAGACATCAATATGTGAGAGAAAAATCTACTGGTTGCTTACCGTACATGTTCCAACCAGTGATCAAACTGGCAACCTTTTGGTGTACAGGATGACGCTCCAACCAACTAAGCCAAGCAAGTCTTGTTAGATAATTAGCTATCAATAACTTAATAGTTTAATGGGTATTCCTTTAAAAAAGCTTTAATAATAAAAATGTTGTAACAACACAGAAGTCCCAATATAAAGAAGGTTAATGAAACCCCATTCAGGAAAATGCTATCAGTAACAGAAACAGAATTAGAAATTGAAAATTCTAGCACTAGTTCTGCTCACTTATTTTCTCAAAAGACCTTAAAAAGAAAAAAAAAAAATATGTTCTACCTAATGGTCTCAAGGAAAACATAAATCCTAGAAAAATTTCTAGGAGACTAAAGGCAGCATGATATAATCTTTCAATATCCATAAATCAAAATTTTCAAGATCACCAAATTTTTGTTTAAAGTTAACAGTGACCTAATAAAATCAGGTCTTAGAACTCAATGCCATTTTAATTTTCTTTCTGTGTTTTTGAACTTAACACTACTGACCTAAAATAATGACTACGTCAAATTTCCCTTCATTTGAGAGTCATTCATCCCTAAAAGAAAATGCTTGTACTAACTGAATGATTCACATAAATTGGTTCTCTTCTCAGCTTACCTGGCCAAAGGAAGACTTGCCCTTACTTGTTAACACTAACATGTACAAGTCTCACTCTACTTCACAACTAGATACAGAAATATGGAAAGAATAAGAAACATTTCCTAATAATGCACAGCTTCTCTAAAAACAGATTTCTGAAAATATCCATTATTATAATGTATTACATTATTTGGAGCCTCCTCGAGTGTGGCATTTTCCTAGGCTTTCTAGTAACTTCATACCAACCTTACAACAGTTTTTAAGTCTAAGGAGGCAGGTACACTAAGACAGGTACTAAGAGACATAGATTATGATACGCAAATAAATACTAAATTTATAAATTAAAACTTCACTCACAAGATAAGCTAGCAGAGAAGGAAAGAAATACACTGATCAACTGTATGATGAGAACAAGGATTCAGTGAGGCTAAGACATTCCTATAAAGGCCAAACACAAATAAATAGATACTTATCAGATAATTACAGAAAACTTCTTGAACCATATTCTTTTTCATTCCACTGCATAAATAAGTCTTACAAGATCTGAATATCAAACAGTCTTTAAAAAATTAATTATTAGACCCTCTGAACTAACTCAGGGAAGAACGAAGCAAGACACTATTCAAAGGAATGCTGCTATTTATTTAACAGTACTTAAGTTTGTTTGATTTTTGTTTTAAATTATTTTTTAGCTTCTTATACCTATTCCTTTGCTTTGCTGATGAAATTATATGATGTCTGGGATTTGCTTTAAAATATTCCAGTAGGGGGAGAGAGGACAGTAGTGGTGGTGTTGGCGATGGTTATTGAACTCCAGTTGATCATTGTAAAAACAAGGTGGCAGGTAGAAGGAGAGTGAAGTATCACTTCAGGGATAACTACAAAGCACCATTAGCATCAAGCCTGCTCTTAAAATATACATGGTAATAGTTTTAGTCCCTAAGACCTAGATGCAAGGAAGACAAAAGGTCTGTTGTAGCTACATGTATCAATATGTGGAGAAAGAATCTGTCCCTTCACCATCATCCACATGGACAGTGCTGCATTCCAGCATCAGTGCTTGCCATGGACCTAGGAGGGAAGAATCTGGTATCAACTATCTCTGGAGGTGAATATGGAGTGGTTTCAAATAAACACAGCTCATTTTTGAGCTGCCTACATGTCCCACTACCTTGGCACACTGCCTGCAAATAGCTACAGAAGAGGACGAAAAACAGTGAACCAAAATGGCAAATGAATGGCCAGGATACCATGAAAAGATAAGGTATTTGTGATGAATAAGCTGGTGAAGTATTCAATACTCACTTCAGACCTATCAAAATAACTGAAAAAAAAAATTGACCAATTAAGGCTGACAATTTTAGCATACTTCCTCAAAAGTCCACAGCTATATGCCATAAGAATCTTCTAAGACAATGTACAAAAACCAGAGAAATTAGTTAGTGTGAGAGTAACAGAATATAATTCAGTTACTAATGTTAAGCAGAGTATCATAAAACATGTTAGAATTAAAGGCACAAAAATACTTGGAAAGTGATAGTAAATCTCAATAACCTAGATTTACTTCAGACAAATCATCAAAAATAATTAGCAAAAAGTGGGGCAGGGAAGGAAAGGCCAGTTATTCAGAGTCCTGGCTCAGACAGTCTATGATCTCAAAAAACCATTAGTCACTTAAGTTTTACAACTACCTTATATCTAATTAACATTCTTTTATCTGAGGAGTTCACCTCACTTATCAAGTTAGTTATTATAACACCACTATGAAATATATGCAGTGTTTTACTGTGAGGAAAGGGAGGCACAGAGAAATGACACAAGGAAGTCAGTTAGCAGAAAGCCTATGGGGCTCCCCAGCAAGCCAAGATCACTTTCTCTCCAGTCAGTGCCAAATGAGGCTTCTTTCTCAGGAGATGCAATTATTCACATGTACAATCAACATAAAACTCTCCATTCACACTGTTCTAGGGCTCAAAGAGAAAATGACAGAAGATGAAATTCAGAGCTGAAAGTCACAAAGGCAGACCACAAAGGTAACTGAAGTAATGCAGCAGTTCAAATTTTTAGCATTATCAAATTCAGAGACTTACCAAGTGCCTGCCATTCAATCTACCTAATTTTTGTTTTAAGAAGATTCTGTGCAAGTCCTAGCTATATATTATCTCAGTTACAATAAGTTTCCACCTATAAACATTAAAAAACTGATTAAAAGAGAAGTATTTGGTTATATTTATAAGCATAAGTAATAAGCATACTTGGAATATAAAATTAATGAGGAAATCATTCACTGTATTTTTTGTTGATTTTAAGACACTACCAATTTGGAGACATCATTGTTTTATGAAACACTAAAAATGAAAGATGCTACCAATTCTACTTTTAACATCTTGATTTAATTAAAATACATCCTGGTTTTTGAGCAATGTTAAAATGTAGAATGAGTACATCTTAGAAAAGATAAAATCTGGCCATTTCCTCAGCTTTCCCCTTGTACTCTCTTCTTTTGGGTTCTTCTCTCAAGTTTTTAGGAGTAGCATGTTCTCTTTAATCGCACCTTGCCAAGCTCTCTTCTCTCTCTTTTAAATAAGTAAATAGAAAATTTCCTTTAAGTACAACTCTCTCTTTTCGTAATTACCACATATACTTTTCCTGGAAGATAACATAATAATTTAACCAATTCAATATATTTATCTAAAGAAATCTCCAAATATCACTATGAATCAATACAGTCCTATCCTATATTAGTTAAGACAGAGTTTGTGTTCTAAAAGCACGGAACACACTGAAAGAGGCTCTAACTAAATGTATTTGATGATGATAATCTCACTTCCTAAAAAGCTCCTGAATATTCATTAGTAGAGTCTATATTTTGCTCAAACATGTGAAAGAAAAAAATGTCTTCTTACCTGGCTTCTAACAACAATGGAGTAGAAAACCATTTTGTTGTAAGAGAGGTTGTAATGGCTTTTGAATCTGCCTTTACTAAGGAAAACAGCCACAGTCCAGTGAATAAAAGCAAAAGTCCCATTTTACAGCAAATCCCTGAAAAAGAAAAAGAAAGTTTTGCTACAGGAAAATGTTTGAACCTGAATCTTAATTCGTAGAGGCACAAAACAACATGACAGCACCTACTATGTAGATAATTCAACAGATATACGCTGAGTGACAGACACACACTAAGGTTGTGTAGATCACTATGTACCCTCTCTCCTACAGGTCATTTCCTATGACATCTGTACTACACAGAGGTATGAAAGGTGGTTGGTGGCAAAACATGCTGTACACAACCACACTTTATGAAGCAAAAGAGTAAATAAAGCTGAGACAAATGAAAATGTAACTGATGGGTATTACAGGTTGAATTGTGTCCCCTAAAAAGATATGTTGAAGTCCTAACCCCCATAGCTTAAAATATGAACTTATTTGGAAATAGTGTTTTTACAAAGGTAATCAACTTAAAATGAGGTCATTAGGGTAAACTCTAATCCAGTATCACTGGTGTTATAAAAAAAGAGGATATTTGGGCACAAAGACAGATTGTATGAAGGCACAGGGAGAATGTCAGGTAAAGACGAAGGCAGACATTGGAATTACACTGCAAGCCAAGAACATGTGGGGCTACTAGAAGCTGGAAGAGGCAAAAAAAAGTTCAAGTCTACAGCCTTCAGGATGAACATCATGAGATGTTCAATGTGTCCTGAGACACACTGATTAGAACTTTTAGCCGGCAAAACTCTAAGCCAATAAATTTTTGTTGTTCTAAACCACCTGGTTTGTGGTACTTTGTTATGGGAGCCCTAGGAAGCTAATATGATGAGTCTCAATATAAACTCAAAATAGGCTCTGAAAGGAAGAAATGTAAGAACTCACCTACAAAAAAAGAAGTTGAGGTCACTGGCAAATTGGCATGGCGAAAAAATGCAGGCCTCCTAAACTCTCAGCAGCAGCAGCCTCCCCAAACACTCTGAAATCCTTAATGTCCAGATCCTTCCAGATAAATGTCTCCAGCTGCAGACTTCTTTGATCTGGTTTTTCATCCCAGAAGTCTGCCTGACAGAACACTAATCAGATTTCCCCTGGGCTATAGAAAAGTCAACATCCAAGTACCATCAATTTGAACGAGAACTCAAGGAGGGGATGTTGAAGAGTAGGAAACACTAAACCAAACTTGTGCTTCTGAACGTTAATGCCTAGAAAAGCTCTCTCCAATTCCTCAATACTAGCTATAAAGTCTAGTGTTGAGGTAGACAGTCCATGTTGCAGGAAACCAATCAGTATCTTCCTTTTAGAAAAAGCGTTACTATTTATGTGGGCATCCTGTTCACATAACACACAATATCTCTAAAGGGCAATGGTCAAAAGCAAAATAAACTATACCAAATAGAAAAGCTGCCTTCTTTTTCTTTAATTCTCACGTAAGAATATTTTTTCATTGTTTTTAGAGAGAGAGGAAGGGAGAGAGAAACATCAATGTGAGAGAGGAGCACTGACCAGTTGCATCCCCTACGTGCCTGGACCGGGGGGCAGGGAGGGGGGACCCCACATGCCCGACCTGGGATGAAGCCCTCATCCAAGGCACATGCCCAAACCAGGACATAAATCCTCAATCTTGCAGTTACAGGATGACCCTCCAACCAACTGGGCCCCACTGGTCAGGGCTGGAGAAGTTGCTTTTACATGAGTTTTAAGTTCAGGTTCCATCAGCTTCTTTGGAAACAGAGAATATGAACATCCCATTTTCAAAATAAGCATTTTTTAAGTATCAACATTTCCAAGGACTAGGGCTAACCAAACTAGACTTTTTGCTTATGAAACCTGCTAGCAGTGAGGAATAGGAGGTGCAGAGTGGATGATGTAGGGCCCTTTCTGAATCTAGCAAAAGTTATTAACATTTCCTATAGAGGTACAAAGGGGGACCCAAACTTTTACATACCACCCAAGAGCTCTCTTAGGACTATTCAAAGACATCCTCCCCAACAGGCCCATGGACTGCAGCCTCAGAAACCTGCCTGCATGCTCAAACAAATATGGTTATGGAAATGAGAAAATATTTTAGAGTCAGGAACCTGTGATTAATTCCTGAGTTTGCTCCTTACTAGCAGTTTAACCATAAGCATGTCACCTTAATTACTTCTCTGGCCCTTAGTCTCCCAGACTCTAAAATAGGAGTAACAGCATATGCCACACCAGGTCACTGTGAAAATGAAAAGGCAATATGAAAACCACTTCGTAAAGTGCCAAGTACTATACCACAATTGTTCTAGTAAAATATATCATTAGGGAAAATACCTAAAAACTACCTTCTAAATTATAGAAGATAATTTATATTTATAAATTATATTACATGTAATAATGGTGATTTATAGATTATAAAATATGCCTTGGAAACCTAAACTCTGTGGCTGAAGGAAAAAAGAAAAAGAAATCCAGCCCAAAGTCACTAGGTTTCTAAACTGGCAAGAATATATGAACTATATTGAAGCAAAACTATGCTATGGCCATGTCTATGACTTTTCCTGGAGGGGCATAGATGTGTAATCCTGCCAAAATGATTCCAGATGAGAAACTGGATACCACTGCACAGTGGAGTTACAGGTAACTGAGAGTGACAAAAGGCCCCTGAAGAAAAATTAGCATTTAATGAGCAATTACTCTGCGCAGAGCACAATGTCAGGTGTTTTGCATTCATGTTACCTAGTCATTCCACACAAGAAATTGTAGTTCCTTGGGGGTAGGTAGCAGCCATGTCTGCTATTCCCTTAGCAAAGAGCAGTGCCTGGAAAACAGTAGATACTCTACGAATACATTGTGTAATGGATATACCACTATCATTCCTGCTTAAAAATAAGGAAATAGAAACTCCTTAGAGAGGCTGAGTAACTTGCTTGACAAATCTATAGCAATGCTTTGATCCCACATCTGCTTTTTTTCAAGTTCTATAATACTACGCTCTCTCCCCTGGTTCCCTGGCTTTACAAGGAGTAAAAATTCAAAGTCTGCAAAGTCACACTGCCCAAAGTGCTTTCTTGTGAGTCCAAGGCAAGTCCAAGGATTTTCTAGGGACAGAGTTCTTGGGGAAACAGGAGGCTGAGAAAGGAGCAGTTTCAATCTGGAACCAAGGGTGTGGGTCTGAAGTTGGAATCAAAGCACCCAGCTACCTGACAGATCCATACTTAGGCTGGCTTTGGAACACAGGAAATTCTCAAAATAAAATAAGCATATACAGACTTCATTCATTAAGAGATATAAATGAAAGAAGCTGGGAAGAAAGGAGTGTGGCACCACAAGCAAATACAAAAAAAATAGACCGACAGACAGACTTCTTGGGCAAGGTATACACTATTAGAAATGAGAAGGTGAGGTATGCTATACATTAAAGAAGAGCTTTCCAATCTTGACCCCACTTCCTTAATTCCATAGGTAATAACAGAGGAAAAGGATGTCCAGAGAGTCAAAGGTAAGAACCCCACTGAAGGGGAATTTTGTTTGAGGATGCTTCGTTTCACCAGGTCCCTTATAACTCTGACACTAGTGGTCTTTAAATGTTGCTCTTAAAGACGAATAACCTGAAAAATAATAGCTGTCAGAATCTGCAATGTGGCATTGCATGACCATAGGCATAATGCTTGTGGCATGACGGATAAATTAAAAAAACACTCTTTTAAAAAGGTCTAGGCCCAAATGTATCATCTGTAAAATCTAGTCTGTGACTCATTTTCCTCAGTTTAAATTAAAGACACTATCTCTACTAGCTCATTGATCTACATTAAGTTATTAGAAATATTGAAAATTATAATATGGAAAGTGCTTTTCACTTTTTGGAGAACAGAAAAGACATAAAATTCTAAGTCATTACCAACTTTTTATTTTTCCATTTTTAAACTAAAGATACTAGCTAACAAACTCTTAAAAGACAACTCACACCCTGTCCTGTAAGTTGATAGATGGTCATCTGGACTTCAACATTTAGGATAACAGGGAGGAAAAAAAAATTAGGAAGTTTCCTTTAGATGCAAATTTACTTCTCAAACAATTAAACCTAATATACATATTACAAAACCATTTGTTGTGAACCATATAAATCTAATTTCTTTTATATTTATTTATTTATTTTTCCTCACTGGAGGACTTTTTTTTTCATTGCTTTTAGAGAGAGAGAGAGAGAGAGAGAGGAAGGGAAAGGGAGAGACAGAAATCGATTGGTTGCCTACTTGTACACATACAGACCACGGATGGAACTCACAACGTATGCATGTGCCTGGACCAGGTATCAAACCTGTGACCTTTTCAGTCCACAGGACAACTCACCAACCAACTGAACCACACTGCCCAGGGCTAAATCTAAGTTCTGACACAAGTAGTTACTACTCATCAGACATGAAAATTATCACAGGTAATGGCAGAAAAAGAAATCTAATAGAATTTTCTCCACAGTTCAGTTTATTCCCAAGTTAAGTGTGCATTGTAAAGGTGACATGCTACTGTACAAAGCAATGTTCATTTCCTTTAATAAAAATGAGTTTTAGCTAAGTTTATCAAAAGCAAGCCAAACAGAAAGGCTACAATCATGCCGAAGTTTGTGGTGTTGTTAAATAGCTATTTAAAATGTTTTCAAAGTCCAAGTAAAATTAGCTGTCAAATGCATTATGAATGTTTCCAAAATAGTGCACCACAGTAAGTCATAAGACCTTAGAACTTCTAATCAACAAAATATGCTAATTTTCAAATCTGGCAAGAAATGCAAAACAATCTAGACATTCTGGCCAAGAACAAGAACAGTTCACATTCGTAACCTTAGGCTATATCCACAGACCTTGTTCTTCTGGCAGGTGACACAATGAAAGTGAAACCGGATCACCCAATATTCAGCCAACAGATCCTCGTATTAAACGAAAATGGAAACCAATATGCATCCCCCAAACTCATTTTAGGAAATATAAAAATATATAAAAAGATCATGTTGTTCTCCAATCAGAGTCCTCCAAACTGCTGATTCTCAACCTACTTAAGGCCAGGCTTGTTCTACATTCATGTTTGGGCACTTGGGCAAAAAAGTCTCAAAGCTCTTCATTGAAGGCTCAAAACAGCTAGAGATCCCGTGGCCACACTAGTAGAAACTATACTTTGCACAGAAGATCACTGAGGGACAACTTCGGACACTCGCAAAAAGGATGAACGCTGACACACGGGAGAGGAAATTAAGTCAGGGAAAATGCGGAAGCTCGGGAGACAGGGTCACAGGGTCGCCCCGAGCCCCATACCCGTCCACGAGACCGCCCCACGCTACTCCAGAGTTACCTGTCACCTGCTGCGCAGCCGTCACACACGCACTGCTCGCGTCCCCCTTCCTGCTCAAGCAGGAGAGGCACTCAGTCCGCGACGGCGCCGGCGACGCGGGGCGGGGCTGGGGAGGGCGGTGGCGAAGACTTCGCCAGTGAGCAACCGACACGCGCCTTTCCGCGGTTCCGCTCGCCAGCCGGCCTTGCTGAGCAATACCCCAGCTGCCAACCGCCCTTCACTTCCGCTTCCCATTGGCGGACCCGGAGGACTTCCTGCTACCGAGTAGGGCTGAGGAAGCCCAGAGAGTCATACGGCCGCCATCTTATACCGGAGGAGGTTCCGTCTGTCTTCTTGTTTATGCCAGTTCAGCGTGGTTGCCGGGTATGTGGGGCAGACGCTGAGACCCAGAAACTCTACCAGGTGGTGACGCCTGATGAAAGTGCGTTTTAGTCCAGGCTGGAAGCTCAGCTGGTTAGAGCGTCCTTGGGTAAGAGAGTTCCCTGGATACGCCAAGACTGCCAGATTGATCCCCAGTCGTAGCACATACGAGAACCAACCAATGAAAGCATAAGTTGAACAACTAATCGGTGCTTCTTTGTCACGCTCTCTCAAAGCGAAATTCCCAGTTACGGCACATCCTTTGGTTGCAGATTTGATCCTAGTCTGATACTGGTCCTGTGTGAATGAAAGGATGTTTCTCTTTCTCCCTCCCTTCTCTAAAAATCAATAAAAGGGGAGTGGGTTTTCTTACCAGAAACACCTGCATTAGGGGGTCCCCTCCTCTCTTCTTGTCTCCTTGTCGAGAGACAGTGTAGTAGAAGTGTGGTAGCAACTTTATTTATGAAATAACACTTGAGCAGGAAGCCTGCAAACAGGCACACAGCTAGTTTGAGTGCCCTGCCTATTGGGGTTTTAAGGGTTTTATCCTTGTAGCCACCCTTCAGGCTCCCCTTCCTCTATTTCAGACTTTGGGATTATCATACAGTTTGAAAGGCTTCCATTCCCATGTGATAGAGAGATACACGCAGAATTTCAAGGGCTCCCTCCTCCTGTGTTCATCGTGGTCTCTCTCGTGATCTTCAGAACAGGTGGCAATCTTAATCTGACCTGACTGTGGACTCCTGAATTAATATCTAGCTTCCCCTCCCTGCCTTGGTTTGCTATCTATTCTGCCTAACAGGTTTCATTGTTCTTTCTGATTTGGGATGTGAGGCATCTCCTAGCCTACTTCCTTAAACCCTTCTATTAAAAGAACCGTTGTGCGATAAAGAACAAAAGGACAATGTTTCTGAACATCTTAGGCTTTATTTGAAACAATAAATTTTGGTAGCTTCTTTCTGAGGGAAAGAAGACTTTAAGTTTTATGAAAAATCTTATAAAATTTAATTTTATATTATGGCTTATTTTTATACTGGCAGTGGCAATTCAAAGGGATTACTTTGTCCTTTGAATTAATTTATTTGAAATTATAAATCACTATGTAAAATTGTTTTAGAATATGTGATATTGGGCAGATCGTTTTACCCACCGCAAAAGGAATAGCCAAAGTAAAGTAAAACCCAAAAATACATTAAAAAGTACATAAAAAGTGTAAAATTTTGACTGACTTGATTATGTAATACAAATAGCCCTTCCCCTGAGAATGCCTGAACAAGGACTAAAAACACGATCCTTAACCTATTCGCTGTATGTCTCTACTGTTTTAGATTTACAGTACAGAACAAAAATAATTTTAAGGATTGAAAATAAACATTTTAAAATTTGTTTCTTGAGGGAAATTTTGTATTAGTAGTTTTCAATAATTCGTTTTCTCCTGGTCTTTAACTTCAGGTGATGCTTCCAATAAAAAAAAGAATTATTTTTAAATTCACCACATTACAGAGTTGATTTTTTTAAGGGTTTTTTTTTGGTTTTTTTTTATTGGTTTGTTTCATTTTTTGGCTTTAACTTGGTCTTCTGGTCTGTGATACAGGAACACCACTGTTTACCCTGAGAAAGAATGTACCAGCTAGGAAGGACTCCCTGTAGTTAACTGGGCGCAAAATCAAAATCAGAGTCTACCAGCTGTTGTTTTTTGGGGGCCTCTGACAAATTCCCCATTTTTAGGTAAACTCCACATACCGGGCTGCCAGGATGGCTGCCCTGTGCTCCTGCTCCCTGAGCAAACCTTATAAAGGAGTTCCTGGAATCCTATGTTGACCAATGGGACTGAGACCTTCCTGAGCTAATTGGAGCTGTGCAGCTATGTCCTCATTTCAGTGGCCAATCAGAGCAGCTCCATAACAACCAATCATAATACATGGAGCCAGCCAATCAGAAGAGTGTGCTATTTGGATCAATCCCTGTGGCTTTGGAGTCCTTTGCTTGGAAATGGGCCCTTCGGGGACCGGGGGAGTAACCTCTCTCTATATAAACCAGCCTCCTTTTTCTCAGTGGAGTGCATGTTCTGCTCAGTTTTACCAACCTCAACTGTAATGGTAGAGAATCAACATTGGAGCAGGTAACACTTGAGGTGCTTCACTAGAATAAGGTCTCTCTCACTAAACCTGAGAATGGGAACTCTTGGTGGCAGAAACTTTTTTTTTTTGACACCACCAATCTTTTGCTTAGTTATCAATACTGCAAACAACTAAAAGCAGGGCTCCCAAGGAAACTGGATTTCTCTTCTTATAAACCTTTCTCAGAAAATTCGGCGCTATATTTTTTTAAATGGATTTTGTATTTTTTATGTAATATTGTAAACTTTTTATTTTGAAATAATTACAGAATCATAAGAAGTTACATACATAGTACAGAGAGTACCCTTCAGTCTTTTCCCTATAGTACAATATCAAAATCCAAAATTTGAAATTAGTCCAATGTATGTGTGTAGTTCTATCATTTTATCACACATGTAGATGGGTATTGCCACCAAAACCAAGATACAGAACTACTCCAGCACCACAAAGATCTCTGTTTGGTTTGAGGGGAAGAAAGGACAAGAAATTGGAACACAGGATTTTTAGGGTAGTTAAACTATTCTGATATCCTAGGGTGGATACATTTGGCATACCTAGGAGTGAACCCTAATGTAAATTATGGACTTTGGGTGATGATCTGTCACTATAGGTTTGACAGTTATAACACATGTACCAGACTGATGGAGGATGTTGATGGTGAGGAAGGCTATACAGGGCAGGATGTAGAAGAACTTAGTACTTTTGCTCATTTTACTGTAAATCTAAAACTACTCTAAAAATTAAAGTACAGATACATTTTTAAGAGGTGGACTACCTCTTGAATTTGAGTTTCATCCTTGCTTAGAGGACATATTAATCTCTTTACCATTCCAATTTTTAGTAAGAAACTGAGCACTAAAATACATATAAAAGGAGAAAACATAAATTTTAAACATAGAAAAATATAAAAAGATAAACTAACCTATCCGCATTGTAAAATGAGGACAAATGAGACTCAGACTTTAAAAATAATTAATATACTTTATTTTTAGAACACTTTTAACAGAATTGAACAGACAGTACATGTGGTTCCATAAGCCCATCCCACCCTGACAGCCAATATAGAGTTTCCTGAATTATTAACATCTTGTATCATTGGGACACATTAGGGTTACATCCATTCAATGGAATATTTGAAATAATTTTCAAGTGGAATAATTTCCAAACCACATATCTGACAAAGGACTTGTATCTAAAATATATATAAAGGACCCTCAAAACTCAATATTGTAGAAATAATGTTATTATTAACTAAACTTCATAGTTTACATCAAAGTTCACTCAGCATTGAACAGTTTTATGGGTTTTCACAACTGCATAAAAATGCATCCATCATTGCAGATTTATATAGAATAGTTTCACCATTCTAAAAAAAAAACCCCTTGCTTCATGAGCTCACCTGTCCCCCAAATCCCTGGCAACCACTAACATTTTCACCATCTGCTATAGATTAAATGTTTGTGTCCCTCTCCAAAATTCATGTGTTGAAACATAATCCACAATGAGACAATATTTGGAGGTGAGACCCTTGAGAGGCATCTTAGGTTGTGATGGTGGAGCCCTCATGAAAGAGTAGTGTCCTTACAAAAGAAAATTCAGCCCTGGCTGGTGGGGCTCAGTGGATTGAATGGTGGCCTGTGAACCTAAGGATCACCAATTCAATTCCCAGTGAGGACACATGCCTGAGTTGCTGGCCAGGTACCCTGTAGGGGTTGTGAAAGAGGCAACCACACATTGATGTTTCTCTCCCTCTCTTTATCCCTCCCTTCCCCTCTCCCTAAAAATAAATAAAATTTTTTTTAAAAAATCATTAAAAACAAACAAAAAAATAAACTTCACTGGGTTCCCTCACCTTTCTACCATGTGAGGACACAGCAAGAAGATAGCCAGATGACTATGAAGCAGGAAGTGGACCCTCAGCACACACGAAATCTATCAGAGCTTTGATTTTTGACTTTCCAGCCTCCAGAACTGTGACAAATTTTACTATTCCTTACAGCAACCAGAATGGACTAAGATGCCATTTGCAAAAATACTTGAAATCATACACTAGATAGCTTTCAGGTTTGCATGTTTCATTAATATACTCATTTAAGATTCCTCCATGTTTTTTGTAGCACAAGTACTCATTTCTGTTTATTGCTGAATAATATTCCATTGTGTTGATCTACCACAGTTTATACTTTTATGTTTCTAATGATTTCATGTTTATTCTGTTTGCTCTTTTTTTCTTTTATCATCATCCCCTCTTTTTCTGCCATCTATTTTTTTAACTGAGTATTTTATGTCCTCTCAGCATATGTGTTAACTTTTTTAAAAAGTTAATGGATTCCCTAGAGTTTGTAATACATATACACAACTAAACCACATCTACTTTAATTTTTTTTTTTTTTAAGAAGAAAGGACCAACACAGACTCCGTTTAATTTTCAGGTCACCATGACATACACGGTATGCCAAAGGAAGTCTGAGGAAAGAGAATGGCTGGCGGGGTACGGTCAGGAGAGGATGCAAAGTTAGGGAAATGAGTTGAGATCAGAGATGCTTCTGCAAGAAGTTAGGAGACAATTACAGAAGAAAGTA